GGAAGGCAGCATCAGAAACCGCCCTCCGACACCCGGCCCCCAACGCAGCGTTGGCTGGGTGCGTTCGGCGTTGGTGGATATCCCGTGCTGCTCGCGCTGAGCTGCGCGCGTGGAAGAGCCGGAACGGCCCGTGCAAAGCTCTAACCCCCTCTCTCCGCCACAGAGTCGGGAGAGTTCCTGAACTGCGAGGGGTCGGGTCTCTACGTGCTCCAGAGCTGCTGTAAGTAACGCAGGGACTGGGAGGAGGACTACTAGCGAGGAGGGAGATGCGCTGTGCTACACGGGCTCACTTCTTCCTAAAAGCCTCTGGAGAAAGGGATTTACGCTTCCCATCGGTGGGTGGGGTGGGGGGGGTGCTGCCGTGGAGCCTGGCTCCTCGGTGGGGGTCTCACCTACCTGTGAAGTGGTCCATCCTGGCGTGGGTGGGACTTGGGTGCCACATGGGCAGTTAGCAAAGAGACCATCCCCAACCTTGCCTGAGCAAAACGGAGCTGAACAAACTGCTGAGGGAGGGAGCTGTTCTTGACCGGGCCGTGGGGACGTCGGAGAGGATGTCCCAGCACCCAGAGCTGTCTTCTTCCACTCCTCACGTTAACGGCAGAGCGGGGCCCAGCAGGGCCGGGGGGCTGGCTGCCGGGAGAGCCGGGAAGTGGGGGAGAAGCGCTGCCATCCCTCTTCCAGCACCTGGGGGCAGGGGATGGTGCTGTGCGGTCCTGGGGGTGATCCAGGACAGCTCGCTCTGAGTGGTTTTTGGGGGGTCTGAGGGAGAGCCCTGGCCTTGCTCCGCGCGACACCCTTGTCCCCACTCTGAGTGGCGAGTGTCATGCTGGTGTCCCCAGGGCAGATGCGGTGGCCGCAGCATTGTGCTGCCTTATCCTTAGCCAGACTGTGGCCCTCCCAGTTGGAGGCACTGGCTCCTCCGTGCCCGGGCCACACGGAAGGGCAGGCACAAGCCCCCCGAGCTCGGTGGGGTCTCCGACCCTGGCTCTGCCTTCTGCTTCCTCTGGAGATGCCCTCACAGCTGTGTCCCGTCTTCCCTGTAGGTAACCACAGCTGCATCCCCAATGCTGAAACATCCTTCCCAGAAAACAACTTCCTCCTGCATCTGACAGCTCTGGAGGACATCGAAGCGGGAGAGGTGAGACAGCACGGCCTGCGTAAACCTTGGGCGGCATCGCAGCATGGCAGAGTGCACCCTCAGCCAGTTTGCTGACAACACCAAACTGGGAGGAGTGGTGGATACACCGGCAGGCTGTGCTGCCATCCAGAGAGACCTGGACAGGCTGGAAAGCTGGGCAGAGAGGAACCTGATGC